GGGCGACGGCCGCTTTATCGATTCTCGGTTTTGGTTCACCCTGCCAAGGCTACCCCACAAAAAACAAAGAGGGCCAAAGGAACAAATTTGGGATGTTTGTTGATTTCTTACCCACATGGAAAACGCAAACAGGCGGGTAATTTCTGGATGTGTCTGGACCTATTCAGCACAGCGGCCAAGCTAGGAGAAAAAGATTGAGGAAGCGGCCTTGACTTGGCTTTGGGAGTGAAGGTTTGGGTTTCAGTTTCAGTCATGGTGGATTCGGCAGGTTTGGGTGCTTCTAGCTGGCTGTTTGGGAGAGTGAGATGGAGAGAGAGAGAGAGAGGAGAGAGAGAGAGAGAGAGAGAGAGAGAGAGAGAGAGAGAGAGAGAGAGAAAGAGAGAGAGAGAGAGGGGTAGAGAGACAGAGCGTGGTTGCTGTTCGGATGAGTTGTTCTCGGGCTGGCCAGGGTGTTTGTTTGGATTCAATTTGCATTTTGTCTATCTTCTGCCGGTGCGCGGGAGGTATGAATATTTGCGGGTGGTCGTGGTGTTTGACATGGCAAATCTGGGGAGGTGTCTGGACTTCCTGGACCAACGAATGTGCAAACGCTTTTAAAATGCCAGCAACGTTGTTCCAAACTCTTGGGGAGAATGTGCAGCTTGCTGGCCGAGATGTGGCAAGCCGTGGCAGATGGGTCATTTGCTGGGAGTCTCCACATGCATGGCCCAGGCTCACCTCGCTCTGGGGTTGCACCGCCATGCTCTTCCTGCCAATGGTGTGCCCCGGACACTTCAAGAAACGACTGCTCCAAAGGGCGCCCACACGTGTTGTCAACAGAAGTGGTCGCAGGATATGCCACCTGAATGGCATGGCAACATAGTCCAAACATAGTCCAAACCTCTATTTCAGGGGCTGCAGTGGTCGACATGAGTAATTATCACCTCAGCCCTCAAAAAGAAAAGGCGCGCTGGTGGTTTGCACGTCCCAGTTGGTGCCCTTCGAGTTGTTGTCGTAGCCTGGAAAGTCATAGTGGCCCATGTTGACGTGCAAAGATTTTTGTTTCAAAGAAAGCATTTGAGTGCCATATCCTCCCAACAGTTGTCGAGAGCGGGGTGTTCAGAAGGTTTCAGAAGGCATCGCGAGACGTGAGTCTTTCTTCTGCACCCTGAGGCGGCAACGCAGACTGCTTATTAGCTTTTGCCCAGGTTGGTTGTGCTCCATGCATCCTAGGTTTTGCTTTGTGCTCCTGGCTTTGCCGGTGATCCGGGGTGACTGGTTTCAAGTTTTCTGCCTTGTCACCGTCCCCGTGCCTTGGCGGCAGCTGTCAACATATGATGTTACTTTGTCAAGGTGAGAAATGGCAGCGAGTTTTTTGGCATGTTGCGGCTGCTATCCCAGTGATCTTGTCAAAGACTTGTGCTCGTTCCATGCTGCCAGTGGTCGATGCTGATATCTTCATTCTCCATCAATTGCTCCGGCCCTTGGATATTCCCACTGACTTGAAGCATCTTTGTAGGTTAACCGAGGGCCCACATGATAGATCATCTGCACGTCCAGGTGAAGCGAAATCTAACTTGCACTGTCACCCTTTCTTGCCCTCATTCACGGAAGTTTCAGTGCCTTCGAGGGGATGATCCTAGCAGCACTTTACACAGTTACGTCGCATGCCTGCACTGGCTCCGGGTAGATTGCTGTGGCACCAACCCATACCAACCCTTCAAACTGGCCGAACAAGGAGTTGCAAGTGTGCAAGCTTCGCATAGCCATTCATGAACAACTCAAGGTCTTAACACGTGTCCAGACGCTTAGTCTATTCAAACGAGTCGTAGCCAGTGGCTGCGTGCGCAGGAGAGCAGCGATCAGTTGCTGGGTAGAAAGTTGGGTGTGACTCATGGATGACGTCCCAATCGACTTCGACTCTACAGGGATGTGTTCAAGTTGCTATTTGTCGTTGCGTGTTTATGTTGAGGAGGACTTCATTATTTGATATCAAATGTTGATTGGAGAGCATCAAGACTCTCAATACCTTGGCCAACATCAGATACAGACAGCTTGTTGCCCATGGAGCCCAAGGGCCCAAACATGTACCCCTGGGCAACCCTCCTATCTTTCCGGATGTGGCTCAGCCTTTTTGTATCCAGTTGTGTATTTTGGAGCTGGTAAAATGCAGCGGCACCTACCGGGGACCTGGGTTCGCGTGGCCGGGGGATTTGGGACGCAGGTGGCTGGAGTCGCTTCATACTTTCTGCTGGCCCTATGCCGCCGCCGCTCCTGGCTCTCCTTCGCCCGCCGCCTGGCTAGATGCGTCACACGCGGCTTGTTCCATGCCAGCATGCCGTAAAGGCACACAGGTGAAGCATCCCTGGGGAAAGCAATCGACGTTAGTGTTTGGTCACTGCTTCCGAGCTTTGATCATTGACTTTGCTTTCCCTTGCGGCAGCTCTGATGAGGCCTTTTCAACTGGCTCCTGCTCGCCACATCACCCCAGCAACAAGCGCTTGGATGAGCCTAAAAAGAGGGACCTTAGCTGGGTCAAAGCTTGCCACGATCTCATTAGCCCTTGGCTAAAGTGATGATGTCAGAAAGCTTTACCCTCCCACCCAATTTTTACAGGGAACCTGACAGGGAGGTCCAAGACCATGTTCCTTTCTGTCAGATTCCATATTAGTTGGTGGGAGGGAGAATCCAGGGGTTATGGCTGAAGAATGACCAAGTGAAAAGTGCTGAGCTCCGAAGCGAAGGTGAGCCTCCCAACGGAGTTGAGGAGCTGTTGGCCATGCAGACGCCGCTCAGTAGCTTCCGATCTGAGGCAAGCGAGGGCTCACGATTGATGCCCCAACCACCCTCACGACAAGTCGTTTCTGCATTGTACTTGAGCCTTTCGCGGTTCGGCTTGTCTTTTGCTTTTCTGCCGTCCCGTTTTGGTGGAAGGTTGTAGGATTGCCTAAAGGCAATCCTACGTAGCCCGCCCAAGGTTAACAAACAGCTTTGTATCCTAGGCAGTTGTCAAATTTGTTCATCACAAATCCAATCCGAAGCCTGCCCAAACAAACCCGCAACGTGAGCTAGCGCCAAACCGATTCTGTCAAGCAATCTGTTTTGGGGGGGAGCCCCCAGCCACATGGAAGGGGTGAAACATGGATGCTTTTAGGCGGCTGGGCATCGGGTTCTCACCAGTGAGGGATGGCCAACGTTGATCAACACTTTCTCCTCGCTTTGCAAGCAGAGGAGACTGCTCGTTGTGAATCGGGGCGTGTAGTTTTTTAGAGACCCAGAGGTTGGGGGGGGGCTTTCACCGCAGGTTAGCCTGTTTAATGTCCTCGTTGAGGAAAGCTCAGTCAAGCGCAGGGTGCGACAAACCCAGCTAAGACCGAGCGCTAGGTTGCAATAGAGCCTCCGTTTGGGATGCTCACCTGACTTGGACTGTGGTTCCTTGCGCGGTCAGCTAGGGTTCACACATGTGAGCATATCCTCATCCTAGCTGGCAATCAGGCGGATGGGGGGGGGTTCAGTTTTTCCCCTTTTTTTTTTTTGGGGGGGGGGGGGGTCGCGGTGTCGCATCGGGATTTGGTTTGGGTTTACGGTGGCTGGCGAGCCGTTGCAAAATTGCGCAGGCAAACTGCTATGTTGAGCCCTTGCACCTGCCGAGTGCTGCAGATACCCTCTGAGAGAGATATGCTAGACAGCTTCCCGGGCTGACCCCGAAGCTGGCCTCGAGAGGCACATGGTGTAGCTGATTGTCGTCATGGGAGATCATGTTACTCTCCAAGACTTGAAAACCGAGGCAAGCCATTTTTGCACTAGCTTGTTGCATTGGATGTGTGACGTTTCGGAATGGAAAGCATCAGAACTCAAAGCCAAGCGACAAGAACAGAGAGGTACTGCTCGAAATCGAGCAGCGGTTCTGGGATGTTCTGTGATGTTCTGGGAAGTGAGCGTAGGATGCACTTGCGTATGTAAGCGTTTGGCCGTGCCCTTGCAGCTGCATCGTCACTGCTTACGCAGACGGTGCAGCTGGCAGCTACCGTTGAAGCAAAGTCCGCACGGGCGGAATTCAGAACCCACGCTCCGCGTGATGCGGCACGGCTTTCAAGGCCCGGACGGACATGCACCAGGGCCACGCATGGCGCACCAAGACACATGTTATGTCATACATATTTGTGCAAATTGAGGCGACCTCATTGTGAGGCTGACGGGCCAAGCAGCCGAGCAGCCGAGCATGTCCATCACGGCTGTGAAGGTGCTGCCCTGGAATGTGGCAAGTCAAGCAGCAAGCCTGGAAAGGGGTGGCGCTTTTGCTTGTTTGCCTTCCTCCCTGTGTAAAAGGCAAGCGTCAGCCCGCTTTGGCCAAAGGAGTGCCAAGGCCCAGGCTTGCAGAGTGGCTACTCGGCGAAATGCGCGCGTCTCGCGGACGGTGGGATTGATGCTTCACCGTTTAGGTGGTTGTCATGCCGCATGTGAGGGGATATGTTGCAGTGGGAAGATCATTTCAGATTTGCTAGTAGTGGTCAAGGCATTGGAATAGGTTCCTTGTTCATGGCTGCTCCTGGTTCGAGGCGCCAGTTTATTGCACAGTAAGATGAATGGCCTAGGCTGACAGTGCTCGCCAAAGCGAGAAGAGCCCGCAATAATGTGATCGCATCAGCCACTGCTGGGTCACAAAGTCCTTCATTTGTGGCCCTGACGTTGGTAGAGGAGCCTCTTTTTTTTTCCGTGTTTATGTTTCGCACACGCGGCCCAGATGGATGGACATTTGGTTCTTATTGGCCATACTTGGCGATGCACCGAGTTGCTGACATCATAAATACAAGTTTCCGGTGTGTTACACTCCCTCAGGCGAACGATCATGGCAGCTCCCGGAAGGCCTCTGTTGGCGGAACCAAGTCTTCAGGGGTCCTCAGAGCTTCCATGTTAGCCTGGAAGAGATGGTGTTTTCGCAACAGAGGCAACTTCGGGGTCTTTAGCCAAAGTTACGGTATCTCCATGTCCGTGGATCAGATCGCTTCCCGGAGCCGCAGGCCTCAAGCTTGCGGAGAGGTTTGAGCTGCACAAGGCACGAGTGAAGGTGAAAGGTTGCCACCAGACCCCGGACCCCACCCGTCAAACAAAGAGTGAATGAGGGGGGAAACTGCCCTGAGCAGATGCTGTCATTTCTTCTTTGGGGCCTCGGTCTGAGGTTTGCAGGGGACTTGGGGGGGGGGCGGGTCGCCCTGGCAGATGGTGAAGCGGCTTGACGCCATCCTCTTGGACATCGAGGTGTGGGATGCGCATGCGGCACATGGTGCTAGGCTCCAGGTATAGGGGCGCACCCGCTTAGGCCTTGAGAAGATGCTTTCAAACAAACCGCATGGCATGCTTTTTCGTGGCACACATGTTTGGCACGAGCGCAATGGTTCCTTTCCTTGCGCAACGAACCCTTTGTCGAACTTCGCATGTCCAGGCCTGCAATCTCAAAGTGCAAACGGCCAGGCTCGAAAAGCTCGGGCGCGCTGAGAGCGGCAAACGGAAAACAAGCGCCTTTCGCATGGGGGGCGCTGAATCCTCCTTCCCATGCACACTTGCTTTTCTCTTCCACGCATATATGGTCAGTCGGGCATTCCTTTGGTTCGAGTTGATTGTTTGCTATGTCCGATGCCCAAGCTGGATGATGACTGAGCGTTTTTGAAGGCTATGACCCGGCCCATACAGGGCACAGCTTACTGACTCTTTCATTTGCGGGTTGTGGGGGGGGGGGGCTTCACCCGACCCCCGCCGTGGGCGTGTCAAAGGCCCAGCTGTTGACATGCACCGTCCAATGCAAGAGCACCTTCATGTGTAGCTAGGTTTCATCCGAATCACCCAGGTGTGCAAGCATGTGCAAGCATGGAGCACTGACTCAAAGCGAGTAGTGCTACATGTGCAGAAGCCACGGGCAAAATAAATGAAGCCACATATCAAAGAGCACACACACACATACATACATGCTGCCTGCATGCATGCATGTATGTATATATGTATAGATACATACATACATATACATGCATACATATACATACACATATACACACATATTCATATATATATATATACATATACAAATGCATATGCATACACATATATATATATATACACATACATATACATATGCACACACCTTCCTGCAGGTCACTCATGACTGCTCAATTGGTGTCATTGTTTCCTTCACTGGTTTACCAGCGTGTCTAGTGTTGCCCTTGGCGTTGGTTGGCGATGGTCCTGAGTACTTGGATTCCCTGTTCCAAAAGCTTCCGATTTTTCTGCTCACTGAGGCCCAGCGACGAGGCGATGCTCTTGGGGCGAGGCGCGTCCGAAAGCCCAGTGGCACCCTTGTCCATCTTGTTGAAGGGGGCGTCCTGTAAATTCGACGGCCAAGACGCCCCTTTTTCCCATGGCCACTGGGCTCGTGGGACTTGCAATGTTGCAAGGGGGTCGTCCAGCAGCGTGGGAAGAAGGTTTGCTTCATGAGGAGCTGCACCTTTGTTGAAAGGGAGGTGTTTGAGCGTGTTTGGCCTTTTTCCTACCAACAAAGGAATCCTTCGAGGACGCTGGCACCACCTTTGCCCCGGGAACACTTGGCGCAGAAGTTCGGCTCGTTCGTTGCGCTGTCCCAACAACTTATTTTGCCTCAGCCCAGCTGCTTTTCGATTGAAACATTGCCTGAAACTCCGTTTGGGAGTGCTCCCTACGGGCAGAGAAGCCATGCGCGTGGCTGCCTGACCACGGGGCTTGCCTCTCTGATTCGCGGTCATATCGGTCAGTGTGGCTAGCAATTCTCGGTGCAACATGTTCATGCGACGACTTGTGGACATGCCAAGGGTTTCAACCGGAAACAACTCATTTGGTTTGACCCATCCACCTCTGCATCTCTGTGGCTGGCCAGGAGCTGTTCATGCAAGACCTGAGGCGGGCGAGGACTTCTGGCACATCCGAAGCCGACATTCGGACCTTCGGACCTCCTGGTTTCCGGGTCCATTGCCAGTCATGCCCCAAGACAACCTTTACCTTGCATATCCGGACCCTTTCCAGAGATGTGGCGGTCAAAATGGGCGGGCCGTGGGGGGGGAGGGGGGACCATCACAGGGACCGACTGCTTGGCGTGGCCGGCCCAGGTAACGTGGCAGGGTGGCATCAAAATTTGCAGCATTTGCCCCAACTGGACGACCAAGCCGGTTAACTATCAAAGGGAGCTGCAGTGGGGGCTCAAAGTCAAACCAAGTCAGCCGTACCCAGAATGAAAGACTCGTTTTCAAGACCAAGCACAACTTGGCGTGGTGAAGCGCAGCTTTTCGCAAGCTGTGCGCATGGAACATCATAGAACAACACAACTGGCCCCCGAAAGCATCAACATATCACAAATGGCTGAAGACGTGCGAACATGCTGCAAAAGGGCAGATGCTGTCACGTCTCTTCGGGCCGTTCTTTTTGGGACGGGTGTGGGAATAAGGCTAATGTCAAGATGTTCATGGCACATTTGCTTTGCGGAGAGGCCCAGCGCGACAAATGGGGTGCTTGCATCTTGCCCGCCGGTCTAGTTTGCGCAGGAGAGACAGGCCGACGAAGGCCATGCGACACTGGGTGTCATGAGCAAGCCATCGTTTGTGCTATTCCGGCTTAGCCTCAGTTGGTTATTTGGAGTAGTGGTACCCATGTGTTCCGAACCTGCGAGCTCAAATCCAAAGCGGAAGGCTGGTTGGCACCACTTCAGAACTCGAAGGTTCCCTTGTTTCATCTCGAAAGTTGGGCTTGAAGCGGTTATGCTTGGAGTTTGTACCTGGGGAAGGGTGGCAAGATTGTGGGCACCCAATTGGGTGCGACGCTGCCCTTCCTCCATAGAAAATGGTACGATTTCGGGTCGCGGCAAGGGATTTGGCCGCTGTTACTGGTGCCAGCTTTTGGGCCGCCCTTTCTCAAGAAGTTTGAGGGGTATTCGTGGACTGGCTCCCACTCATGCCGAATGCCCAAATTGTAGAGCTCGCCCAAGAGCTGTAAACTTGGCTGTGGAGCCCCAACAGCGATGTAAATACAGAGGGGTCAGGGTCGTACTCGCCACAACATCTCCGGCCTTGCTGGTCACGGCCAGCGGAAGGAAGCCTCTGGCTTGCGGCTCCCAAAGTTGAGGGGAGTGTTGTTTGCGCTGAGCGGGGGATATGCATTGCAGTGCGCCAGATCTGTTGAGGTGGACAGCCACAGTGCATGGGCTCTGCCTTTTGCTGGTGGCCCCTTGTGACACCAAATTCAGCCGGCCAACGACATCCAAGAGAGGCTTCCAGACTCCAAGGGTGTGCTCTCCTGGACTCCTGGGTTGTAAACCATCAGTTGGTCCATCCTTGCTGAGTTGGGTGAGATTTGCAGGACAGGCCATCCATTTTTCGAGAGAGCTTGCCTTGGGCAATGATGCTGGTCTCGAAGCTGCTGTCCTCGCGGATGATTTAGCCTTCTCTAGGATCCAGTGGATTTTGGTGTGGGAGGGACATTGAGGGACTCACTAAATGTCCGACAATGTCCAACCCTGGCTTTCCCATGTCCATTCTGGTAACGTCATGTTTTGACCGTGACTGACACTGTGGAATTCTGCATGGTTCCTCTATTTTTCGACGGCCCCAACCAATTTGGAGTGCAGTGGGTATATGTTTTTGCATTTACGGCAGGCTCTCGCTGGAGATTCCCTACTTTCGCCAGCGCCTCAACCATTGCCCGTGAGGCACTTGTTCCCCGCCAAGCAGGTTTGGGGTTGTTAGATTTTGAGTGACCTCCACAACCGGCTAGCCCGCCCGCCGGCAGAGCGTGTGTCAGCCAGCCTGTGACAGACAGCTGATAGACAGGTGACAGACAGATGTGACAGAGCCTGTGACAGACAGCTGCGACAGAGCTTTTGCCAGACACATGTGACTTCACTAGTGGCCGGATTTAGGAACATGAGCCTTGTTCACAAACTCAGGGTAGGTCATCTTGCTTACATTTTACAGGGCCTCACATTTTCAACACCGTCATTGCGAGCTTGCTATTTTACACAGGCGTCGAACAGACATGAACACCATAAACTTGGTGGACAGGCGTTGGGCCACACCCGCCGCTCTTGAAGCAACCGGACCTAGCCACGGTCTTTACGTCAGACGCCCAGGCACCTTGCAGCAGTCTGCGGAGCGCTGCGCTCAGCAATGGGAGTGGTCCGCTTGGCGGCTGGGCATCTCCTGCCCAAATATGGGGCTTCCATTATTGAGACGCATTTGGACCAGCCAGTGCGGCGTTGCCAAGTCGAAAGTGTTGCCTCAGCTTTGGATTCATGTCGCGTCAGTCCACTTGAAACCCACTGCGCACGGCATCAACCACAACATACTTGAGCCCATCCAGGTAGCCCTCAAGGTTGGCATGCGCACTGTAGTGTCCAGGTTGTTTTTGTTTGGGTTCGTCCAGGTTCCATTGACGGTCTGGCAGGTGGGACGGCACATGGCACGCTACATCCCACCGTCCATCACTTTTGTTGCTTGCTTTGTGAAGTCCAATTGTTTGGCGCGGCGCTTTTAGAACGGCATCGAGTCATTGTTTTGTCGAATTTCCCTTTTCAAAACCTTGCAGGCCGCCTGGGATGACATGAGACTCACCCAAATCAAGCAGTGTGGGGGCCGTCGGCCGGTTTATGTTCCAAAGTTCACCGCCCTGTTGCTGTTCTGCGCTGTGGTGCGCACACGGACGAAGGTGCTGGGGCAGTTCTTTGTTTTTTTGCTTGGGCCATGCATTTCTTGAGGCCTTCTACGCAGATTTGTGATCTAGGTCTTGGCTTTGCCGCTGCGGAACTCACCATGGGGGGCCGGTCAACTGCCAGACGGCTCATAACAAGGCAGCTTGAGCGCATAAAACGACGCATGACACTTGAAGCCTTGTTTTTCAGGCAGCCGGCTATCCTGGGTACCCTGAGGTATATGTCCAAAACAGTTGCAGTTTGGGAGCTGGTTCGGGAGCTTGGCCAAGAGTACGCGCTGTTTGCTGGGCTAGTGCCGTAGTTGTTTTCGCGGCTTTGGATGGTCCATGGTTCGTTTCGGTGAAATCAGCATTTGTCGGAGGAAAAGCAACCGCTTGAAGCCATGCGGGTGAGAGGTTGCGATGGCACTTGGCCGTTCCCCCGCTTAGCAACAGAGGGCACCGTTCCGGAGTCGCGCTGATGGTTTCCTGCTTACCGTGGGTTTGGGTCAACGCAATGGACGGCCGTGACAAGTGGGAAGCCAGATGCCCGATGCATAGATCCTGTACATAGTTGCGCTTGTATGTCCATGTGCCTGACTTTTGCACGGCTGTGCCTAGTGGAGCGCCACATCAAGCAGTAAGACGCAGCATAGCAAGTCATGTTGTTTGGACTTGTTGCAGGCTCCTAGCACCCCAAGATGGCTTTACCTTTGCAGCCACAAATGTAGAGCCAAAAACGGCACTCGAATGAACATGCATTCAATTGCATGGAGGTTTCAGTTGTCTCTCCTTTGGGTAGTGTCGACCTGCCAATGAGCATGGCAAAAACATCTAAC